AGATGTACTGTGCATTGTGTCATAGCTTCCGTATGGAACTTTCTAATAAATCAAACATAACAAGACACTTCTTATTTCCTCTGGAAAAGTTGTAAATAGAGGCTCTGGAAAAGTCTAATTTTAAATGCAGAAAAAGGGGAGTGAAGGCCAAATGTTCAAAGGTAAATCAAAGAATAATTGCATCCAGAGCAGCCTGACAGAAGGCTGTTTGGGAGCTGGTCCCTACAGACAACTCCCTGGTGACAAACTCAGAAGTGGAACCAGAAAATGCCGTGTCCGGCAGGTCAGTCAGGGAGGTGGTTACAGATCCAGTTTCTGATGATTTCTGTATGATCCAAACCCTGGTGCTCCAGTCCTGCAGCTGGCAAATACACACTTTGTGTGGCCAACAGATGAGAGGTTCTGACCCTAGAGCAACTAAAGGAAAAAGGCAAAGAGCGCATTCACCACAGTAATTACAGTATCTCAAAATAACACACAGTTTATTGCTTTTTTCGCTGGAGAACCTGTTGTGTTCACAAAAGCACTAAAGCAGCTTCCTGGGCAAGACGAGTAGGTTGTTCTGAACAGTAGCATAAAACTTGCACTTGAGAAACCGCTCTCCTCTCCTCCCCACAACCACCCTTTTTGTATGACATGATAATTCATCTTGCTTTGGGTTTTCTCTGCTCAGCCTAGTGAGTATGGAGAGGAACCAGAAGTGCAGCTTCTAGGGGTAAGTCTTTCCCTTCTTCGGCAACTGCAACTCTTCTACTGATGACAGGGCAATTCCAGATGAACTGGATTTCCTTTTGAAGCCGGACAATGTCTGTTACAGCAACAAAGAGGCAGAAAATCCTCCTTAAATTCCAAAGGTAGGCTCCTGTTTGGTGCTGTAGGAAGAAGGTTTAATAAGCCAAGTTGGGTTCATTCAGCCCACCTGCTGTGCTGCAGCTCTTCATCAGCACTAAGCTTGCCATTCTGTAACGAGCTCGTAAAGTTAGAAAGAGGTATGTTAGGCCTGATTTCTTCCCATCAGCATGTCAAATTCCTTAAACTAAAGAAAATTATTGATCTCCCTGTATCCTCGAGACCATGTTTTTTCTTTACCAGTTAGATATTTGCATCCTTTGAGTCTCCTAGAGAACTACTTCTTTCTTTTCAACATCCTTCACAGAGATGAGACTCTTTTCAGAAGAGAGACCTGGGCTTCATTCTACAAATGGATAGACACTTTCTGAGCCTTCCTTCTGTCTGAATCACAGCTATCCGAAAGAAGAAATGTAAGTATTCATGCTTACTGGAAAGGGAGAAAAGTTGCTACCTTGTTCCCATTGGTTGACAGTCAGTTAACTTGGAAGCATTACTGCCTATAGAATGAAACAGAGATTTTTGTCAATTCAGAATTTCATCATTTTCAGATGCCAGGAGTGTAAGAAGTAAACTTGATCTTGTAAGCATGGCATCTCACTGTCTGATTAGTTCTGGAGTACACATTTTAGGTTCTGTGTTCAAGTATGTGAAATTTTTCTTTGCACTATATGATGCTAATTAATAAGCCTGTTTTAATTCTCCTGCACATGCTGCCAGGCCAGCTGAATTATCTAAAAAGCAGTACTTTGACCTCCGTGGATACAGTCCCTCGTAAGACGACTCTGTGTAGAGATTTTTTTTCCTCTGTATATAAATGGTTTTAAAGATTCAGTAGAACTCCTAAAAATAACGCTTTAAACTTTATTTTCTGAAACATATTAATGGAAAGCTTTTCTTCCTTTGTGGTGAGTGCAATAGATCTTGACTAAGCCTGGCTATTCTACATGCAATTACTTTGAGGCCATTAAAAATTACTAGTTTTTTACAGATATCTACCTACTATGAAATGGCAAGGTTCTCGTGTTCATTACTACTTTTAGTAGTATAGGAGGAAAAATACGTAGTAAAATTACATCAAACTAAGGGGAGGGGGAAAAGATTTGTAAAGCAGTTTGCATTGAACATTATCTTTGTAGCAG